TCATCGAGCTCGGCCGAAACACGACCTCAATAAGCGGAGGGACTAACTGTATGGGTCAGAATCCGACCTCACGATAATTAACGGAGTTAATCTCCTCTTGAGCTAATCCATAATTAATAAGTGGTATGGCCACTTATTTATAAGAGGATTCGACTCTTGTCCGATTGAATCTACGAGGGCACGGCCCATTCATTCCCCCACGGGGACGGAACCTTAGTGTGGCCACGGTCATTTTTTGCCAGCTCACGAAGCTCACATCTATAAATACTAAGAGTGGAAGCCCTAGAAAGGGGGCTGCTTCTTCACCACTAGTGAGAGGAGAGAGAAACAAGAAAATATACCCCTCTTATGGGAAGAGAAAACACCATTGTAAGGCTCTGAACCTCTTCATGGAGAGGCAGACCAAACAAATATTATCAATAAAGGTTTCTAATGCTTCTCCCCCTAATTCTGAGTTCTTATTTTAGTTTCTTTCATCTGGTCCAACGGATTATTACGATTTGCTATGATTATCCCGGGATTTATTTATATTGTTTTGTACTCGTAAGATGTGTAACATTTTTTGAGCAAACAACCCCAAGATTCCATCAGCTTTTATTAGTCTTTATTACCCATTATTATTCTTTATCACTTTTTTATTACCTTTCATTGTAACATTAATATTGGTGATTAATAGGGCATAATTCGTAGACCATAAACTTCATAGCTCTAGTATAAATGGAGGCATTCTATTGTAAGACATCAAGAAATACTGATAACAAAAAACTAGTATTCTTTCTCTGAAGCTTTTTATAAAGGTTCTCGTCTTGATCCCGGTGGGAACATTCTAAAACCTAGACTTGTTTCTTCTTCAATTGTCTTTATTTACTCTGTTTACACTTTGTTATTTAACTTTATCGGACCAATTTAATCCACGTATCTATCAACTACGTTACAAATTCAACTGTACCGTTTTTCTGGTAAACAGTTTGGCGCCCACTGTGGGGCTTAGACAATTGTGATATTATTTTGATCTGTTCATCTTTTACTAACATACTTTGAAGTTTTTTTGTTTTAAGCATACTACAGTTATGGCACTCAATGACGTAAACAACTCGCTCAATGTTGGAACAAACAATAATAGCGAGCCCGAGGACAATCTCCATGATGAAAATCAACAAGATGGTTCAATTAGTGAAACCCGTCTCGATGGGAATGATTCAACTCCTAACCGTGTAAAAATAGATACTCGGCGGACAAAGAGTCCTACCCCAGATGATATGAATGATGTACCCATTGTCGTTACTGTTAAACTTTTGAGAGCGCAACAAAAGGAGATCATAGATCATCTCTCAAGACAACATTGAATAATGATTAAGCTCCAGCAAGCATTATCGGTTGCTTCCAGTAATTCAAATGGTGGAGTTCGAGTCCCTCCCGGCATGCCAATAAGTCAAATGGCACCAAGAACCGGTAACACCGTTACCGGGGGGGAGTTCAGAACAAACAACAATCAAGCAGGTGGTGCCGGTAGTAGATCTGAAAATGTCGCAGACGATTCTTTCAAATCGAACTCATGAGGTTTATGAGGGAAATAAATGCTCGAATGGATCAAAATGCTAAAGAATTTCATGCTCGGATAGGTCAGATTTCGGGAGCACCTCCTGTCCTAAAGGGCCCGGATTCGAAAAAGTATTTTCAATTGCCGTTCAAACCGAGAGCGGCTCCGGAGTTGATTCCAAAGAGATTCAAGCTGCCGGATATTCCAAAATATGATGGAACATCGGATCCACAGGAACACATTACAACCTATACCACAGCTGTGAAGGGAAATAATTTGGCTCTGCATGAGATTGAATCAGTTTTGCTAAAGAAATTTGGCGAAACCCTAACAAATGGGGCTTCAACATGGTATTCACTTTTACCTGAACACTTAATTGATTCTTTTGAAATGCTTGCAGATTCTTTTATTAAATCTTACGCTGGAGCGAGAAAAGTTCAAGCAAGGAAAACAGATTTTTTTCAGAATCACTCGAGAAGACTCAGAGTTGTTGCCAGAGTTTGTGATCCGATTCCAAAAGGAGAGAACGTTGTTGCCGACAATACCTGATGAATGGGCAGCAGAAGCATTTACTAAGACTCTCAATCCCTTAAGCTTCGATGCCTCAAGGAAGTTAAAAGAAAGTTTGTTGGAATTTCAAGCAACAACTTGGGCAGATGTTCATAATAGGTACGAGTCAAAGATTCGTGTAGAAAAAGATCAGGTAATTACATCAACATCTTCTACAGCTCGGAATCAAGGTCAACCAAACTTTGATCGGAGGCATTCAAGGCACCGATTTGAACCATACCAATTAGGATCACGAATTGACAGGGGGTAGGAACGTTCTAGAGGTGAGTCGCTAGAAAATAACTTCGATGAAAGATTATAATGTCTATGAATGCTGGGGATTGTTGCATCAAAGCAACAGTAATTACAATACTAAGTATCGGAAGCATCTGAAGATGGCTCCCAAACAATCCGTACAGGATACCGGAGATAGCTCGAACTGGCTCCGGAATAAAGAGAAGTGCCGGAGACTGCCAGATAAAGGACTGGGGACTGCCAACTCATCCCTAGAGAGGAAAAAAATTAGAAGGAATCAGAATCAAGACCGGTTAGACTAAGTAAATGTCAGCCCGGTTGCAATTCTCTTGCAATGTATTTTTGTTCATCTCCGATAAATTATCGTATACACAAAGTTGTAAATATTTGTTTATGGTCAAGGAATGAAATAAAGCAAAACTTGCACCTTCTAAAAAACATTCTCGCGTATGTTTGAATGAACAAAATATATCACTTTTTATTATTTGCTCATACTTAGAAGCAAAAAAGGATTACAAATTCGTACAATTGTGCCCAGATGAATAGGAGACATCATCTTCATAAGCATCGTAAATATAAGGCCCCTCTCTTATGAAGCCATCCAATCAAATGGCTAAAGGTCGGATGTCTTGTTTTTCGATAGTAAAGTTAACCGAAAGCATTAAATTTTCGAATTTTAACAAAACCAGAAGTACAAAATTACTGGTCATAAACATCCCTAGTCTATGAGGCTGTGAGGTTATAAAAGTTTTTGGGTGTAACTAAAAATCCAAGAGTCAAAACACAAAGAAGAGTTTTTGAAAGGTGAGGTGGGAAATGCCCCGCACGAACTATCTGATCAAGTTTTCTTTTTCCTATCACAGGCAGCTGGCAAAGCCGTGTTTGATTGTCGGAACGAAAAACTCAAGACTCGAAAGTTCCGGGTGGGCACTAAAAAACCCGAGATCAAGTTCTTTGTGATGGTAGCACTTCCTCAGTGCCAATCAGTCATCGACGAAAGAATAATATGTTGTCATCTGAATCCCTAAGTTCTGCACTCATTTTTGTTCGAATTGGGATTTTCAGGCCATTTTTTATGAGGCAGTAACGAGGGTGGTAAACTTCCACTTCCCAGTTATATCACAGTGAGTAACCGGAAAGTGAGGGGACTATCTGTATACAGTAAAAATCGGTCTCAGAAGATGGGTGAATTAGGAAGCAACATGTGTCAATCAGCAGTGATTCAACCATATTCACACTGGATACAAACATATGACTGGATAAGAAGTAATTCAAGATATGACCGTTACAGAAACGTTACAGAAGACCCTAAGATTCCTTCATCAGCATTTAGTACTCTTTATTAACCATTATTATTCTTTTATCACCTTTTTATTACCTTTTATTGTTACATTAATATTGGTGATTAACGGGCATAATTGGTAGACCATAAACCCCATTGCTCTAGTATAAATGGAGGCTTTCTTTCTATTGTAAGAGATCAAGAAATAAAGATAACAAAAGTCTAGTATTCTTTCTCTGAAGCTTTTTATAAAGGTTGTCTTCTTGATCCTAGTGGGAACATTCTAAAGCACAGGGTTGTTTCTTCTTCAATTTTCTTTATTTACTCTATTTACACTTTGTTATTTTACTTTATCAGAACAGTTTAATCCACGTGTTTATAAAACCACGTTACAATTCAACTGTACTGCTTTTCCGGTAGACAATATATTATTGGGTTATAATTATCTTAAAAAAGTTATGTCTCAATTCCAAGAGAATTAGAGTGTGTTATAGCATGTATAAATCCTCTTTAACTATACTGCTTTATTTAATCTTATGATAGTTATAATATGAAAATTCATCACAAATTGACTACTTTTTACGAGTTTTTAATCTAATCATATCCTCCTCCTTTATTTGGACTTGGGACTAGTAACAGGGGCGGAACTAGTTGCTTGAATGTTGGTTCGTTCGAACCTAGTAGTTTTTGCTCAAACAATATATTTATATTAAGAAATTTATTAAATATGTATAAATATTAAATTTAGAACCGTTAGGAAAATTTAAAGTCATCATTCTAAATTCAAAACCCATAAAATTGGAATCATAACTCCACCTCTAACTGATAATGTGAGCAAGGTCACCCAGTCAGAGTTACCATATGTCTAATTAAGGAAAAATGATTATAATGCAATTTTCAAGATTGAAATGTACCGCTATAATTTTATAGCGCTCAAAGAGAAAATGTTAGTTTAGAAAATAGTAGGGGAAAATGAGGAAGAGAAAGCTAATGTACAGAAACCAGAAAAAAGAATCTTCAGTGCCTTGAACACGCAAAATTGAGGACCAAAGAGGAAAAGTAATTAACAACAGGTTGGGCAATGACATTGTAATTATTTAGTACTTATCAATACAATGAAAACTCGACACAAATATAATGGTATTTCTGTATTAAGAAAAGCAAACAATTAAAATCCATTTATACTAAAAAGATTTTTTGCACCATCAGAATTGTTTTGAAAACTAATTTGTACTTTGAAAAGCTCTAGTGATGAATGTCAAACTATGCCAGATCTCCGTAATTGTTTGGACCAGTTAACGAATTTCACAAAAGATTAACTTGTGAAAGAGGGAGATTGCACAAACTAAGAAAATTTTCAAAGCACGCAGAAAATAAGATTCATAACAATTAAAGCATGCTTTTATTTATGAACATGGAGTTTAAGAACATGCTTGTACACCAAAGGACACAAAGAAGTGAAAGGGGTCATGGGGGAGGTAACTGTTCTAAATAGTTCATCCAAAAAGTTTGCTAATACATACACCATATACAACTGAAACCATATATTCTATTGCAAGAATGAGACATTGAATATGCAACTCGAGCCATATCTAGAAGGATGCCATGATAGAACAATCCACTAGAAGATGCTGCAGCGCGAAATCCAACCGTACTAGCTGGGCGAGGAACACATAATGACATCGGAGTTCGTGAAATAATAGGCCTGCGCTGCACGGTAATTCTAGTGAAACCAATGATAAATTAAGATTTACCTTCCTTTTCATAAAATCCAATCATCGGATCTAGGAATAGGTCTTCCAAATCAAAAATGTTGTCGTCCTTTATGCTAGCATTAAAACTTGGATATACTCCACCACCACTAGTGCCAGCAATTGACAGTAATGGGTCAGAATCAACAGAAAGACCTGCCTCACGAGCTCCCACAGTGCTCTCAAAACCGTTCTTCGCACCACTGCTAGAAGCTGTACAACCATGAACTCCAATATGATCGGCAATTGGTAATGGCAATCTTGCAGTGTTAACGATAGGACCAACTTGAGTGGCTTCAACCAACTCTTTGGTGATTAACTCTTCCATTTCATACCCAACACTACTGACGGGATGAGTGTACATTCCAGTGCCACCAGCAAAAGATGGTTGCCAGCTAAGTGATGGAGTGTCAACCCCGCGCCACGCTTCAGAGGTGCCCTGTGTCGGTACAGTGATTAAGTCTTCTACACCTAGCAAAAACTCATCATCCACATTGGGAAGTGAACTATTCAACTCACTAACAACAGCAGTACCAAACGGGAAAGTCTCAGGGTTAACACTGGATGGTCCTCCAATAGCATCAATCATGCAGTTGGTAACTGGCCCTGGTAAAGGAAACATCCCTGTGTCAAAAGCTTCAGTCACATAGTCAGTGATTGGCCATTGTAATTGCCCTCCACAAGGTCCATTCAACTTCTCAGTTTCTTGTCCTTGTGAAGGTTCAGTAGTACCAGCATCCACAGTAGTGATATCATGAATGCTTCTTCTCCTCTTCGCCTTATTATTGTCTTTTAACCGACTGAAGAATTTCTGCGCATGGCTTGCCACCTGTGTTGGTGTTCTGGATACCACAAAGTGCCTAGATATACTCCTCCAATCACCTCTTCCATATTTCTCCAACCCCTGGAGAAACAACCTATGAAAGGAAAGAAGATTGAAAGAAGTTACTAGCCTTGGAATTTAATCTCGGAAATAAATTGCAAGACAATATTTGCTTAAACCTAATACACTCACTCAATTAACAGACAACTTCTTATGCATCTTAGATTTTCTACTCACAGGTCGGTATGATTATACACACATTTTTTTAAGTTCCATTTATATTCAATGAACACATCTAATAAATTTGATTTACCTAGTTTGGTGTTATTTCAGCAAACATTTATCATTACTGACAACCCGCAACCTAACCATAAAACTACAATTTACACCAATAATATGGCACTAGTGGATGTTATTTTGATGTTTATTGAATCATCCCACTTATCCAGAAAAGATGTTTATAGAATCATCTCCTCACTCACATCATTCCTTGTCGCAATTGTCCCTCTCTCAATTCAACAGATCCTCTTTTGGCTTCTCAAATTGTTGTAGGCTATATTTCTCTTATCTTCAGTAAAAATTAAATGAAACAGTATTTTCCAACAGAAAAGCAGAGCTCCTCTGATATCAGTAGAACGCTCGCTGAAGCAAAGTAGGGTCCAAAATTTTTTTGTTGTTGCTGTAAGCCCATCCTCACCAAGAAAAGAAAGAGAAATATAAATATTGCATACTAGAAAGTTTTCCAAATACATCAATTTGCCCTAGTTTATTTGACCTAATCATTTATTGCCAGCATCTAACTGGCTCTTCGCATGGTATTCAATAAGGTGCTAAAGAAGAAACTATAAATGGACTAAGCTTGATGGGCTATACCTATATTGTTCACATCACTTCTCGTCAGCAACAAATTTCACAATGTTTCCAGCATGAGTTAGATTGAAGCCTTTATAAGTCTGTGTCTATAGTAACTTGTCCATATATAGTATATCACGCATCTGTTTGTGAATAACAAATATACTGATGACGCAATGACTTACGTTACAAAATTGATTTCGAGCTGTACTCCACTTTTCTGTGAAAAAGACAAACTTACACAAAAAAAGAGCATTGCGTTTAATTTTTCTTGAGAAAAAAAAAGCTAAAAGAAAATTGAAGAAATTACTAGCCAAAGCAGATGAGCTCTCTTCCATATTGTTAGATACCAAATTTTCAGAGGCATTTTTTCTTTAAAAATTCACACAAGATCCACTTAGATTTGTGCAAGACATTGCTTAGGACCAACTGTCTACTATACATTTACATATACTACATCCATATATAATTTTTTTTTTTTTTAAATAGATTTTAGAGATGATTACATATTAGCACAGTTTTGTCGGCGGTTTTGGTCCAAATTGATGGAATTGTTGTTAATCTCAAAAATAAAGGGAAAAAAAAAAGCATTTTGTTGCAAAGAACTTCTTAATCCTTACAGTAAGCGATGAATTTATTCAACCATTAAGAAACACATTATTGTAGAGATTAGATAATCATCAATTTAGCCAGATATTTCAAAGCAAACTAACATGGTAATTACCAAATTTGCAGAAAAAACCTCACCTGTGTTCCTCTGCAGTCCAAGCGACCCCTTTTCGCCGTTCTACCTCTGCTCCAGATAATCTACTTCTGCGGCTGGAACAACCTTGCATTCTCCCGTATCGAGGTAGCGGAACTTTTCCAGCCTCGATATCATTTATATCATCAACAAGTTTTTTATAATGTTGTAAGATTTCTGGAATAGATTTCCGTGGAACTGCTGCAGCAATCTTCATCAATTGATCGCTATCTCCAGCATAAATGGCTAGGGCAGTTTCAAATGCTCTGTCTTCCTCCTTAGTCCAAGAGGAGCTATTGCATGTCTGGTCAGGGTTCATTTTGTTAGATCTACAGTGCTTTCGTATGTGAAAGGGAAAGTTTCTGAAGAGTATTCCCAAAACGGATGACTTCCATATATGACAAAGACCAGCATAAATATTTGTTGCATCTATATGTGATTTTCTGTACCCACTGACACTTGGTTAACAGAAAGAATGGCAGCAAGACTCCTACTTTTTTAATCAGCTATCAATTTTAACTACAGTAATGAGAGCAACTGATAAGGGAAACGGGCAGGTGGCACATTAAAACAGAATGACCACAACGACGACTTTATTTCTAGATGTTAAGTTGTACATCAACGTGGAGTAAAACAATCAAAGTTCACTGAAATATAAGACTTTGATGAGGCTACTGGCTAACTAAGCAGGATTAACACAGTAACATATGACTTTGCGGAATTTTTTTTTACTTTTGTGACTGTTGCTCCTTATTTAGCTACTTTATATTTATTTTAAAAGGCTTTCAACCATTTAACGCAAAATTAATCAGTAAATGTCTGATTAATGAACTCGCTGTGGGAAGGTAAAATAGAATACGGAAAAGATTTGTATGATGGAGCTAAACAGTAAGAGTTTGACCAGATATTTCTATATTTGAAATAGAACCTACAGCTCTCTACCGCATCAGGTCTAAAAAGAATATATAATTAAGAGAGCATCATTTTGTTTTACTACTAGGAAGAAGGTTTCATTATGAGATATAACAACAACAAATTGTGTTCAAGCTGAACTACAACTACATCAATGAAGCATATCTTTCTATTCTTGTTAGAGACCAATCAAGAAGATATCTGAAAGAGATCTATAGCCTTTTTGAGAGAAAAAAGAGATTTATTGCTTTGCAGATAGAGGATGTAAATTCTCCGAAATGGTGTACCCGCACTTGCTGCTATAGCACAGATTATATAGTTCAAAAAAAAAATTAGAAGATATATATTTATAACAAGTTTGCACCCATTGACACAAAGGAGCAGCTGGTGGTACTTCACACCCACTAACTTAAATCTTGAATGCGCATTTGTCTTGCACCACATAAAGCAAAAGAAAGCCCAGTTGAACATATGGTATATCAAAAGATTCGACTTTGAAATGTTTTAGAGTGAATTTCAAACCAAATGCAACCACATCATAAAGCACCACTCTAGAGAATCTAGCTATATTTGCCAGAACAAAGTCCCCGTTTAACAGCTAAAATACTTAAAATTTTGGTTCTTCGGAGAGACAATTATTTTTAAGTAATTCAAAAGATTTCAAAGTGAATAACTTCCACAAAGTATCTTGTGAAAGAACCATGTTGCAAAAATACCAAAATGGGCATTCATCAAATGGCCACCACATAATGGACAAATTAGAAGCTAACAACTTATAACTGCCTCTCAATTGTAAACAAATCACAGATGACAAGTTTAATATGATAAAATGCCAAAAATTTATTCGATTCCCAAGGATCCTTGACCCTCCAAATAAAAAGTGCAAAAAGGATAAATTTAGAGGTCCAGAGTAAGTCCTTAGCAGTTAGAATAGCTCATGTTATCAGCAGAAATCAAAAGGCTAATATGTTATGAAGCTGAGAAAATATTAAACTCACGGGGTACATCTAAGGTTTCATTCCCGAATTTTCCTTCTCTAGAGTTCAATTACCGAACATGATACTCAGGCAGGAGTAATAGTCCGATGCTTGATATTACAACTAAAGATATACATTAATACAACTCCCAACAGCCATATGCCATTAAAATATAAAATGTTTGATATGCGGTTAAGCTTTAAACTTCATGGCGACTAAATCATAAGGATATCATGATGTCTAACATATGGAAAAGGAAAAGAATCCTAACCACTTTAAATAGAGGAACATTGAATCAGTAATTAATTCCTCGATCAAAATTGGCAGATAGTTCTTTTTTCTTCTTTTGGTTTTCCTGTTGAAGTACACATGTTTCAGGACTCTAAAAATACTAGCACACTTAGCAGAAAGGCATTAATCACAAAGTACAGTCAATCATACTTCTGTAGCCTCATCCCATACTCTAATTTAGCTTCCGAATGGATTAACTTCAGTGTCAAACCTTAGTCACTAGAGACTTAAAGAAGGTACAAAAGCATATATTTATTAAAGAAATTTAACCAAAGATACCTGATGATAGTTTAGGTGCTTGCAAGCTGCCCCCACCCCCCACCCCCACACACTAGGATTTTTCAACTGGATTGGACTTGTCAAGTTTCTATCTCTGTCTCTCTCTCGTGATTAGAACTTCTAAAGTTTGTTTGATTTTTTCACTAACATAAAAAGTTTGTTTGATGTATTGGGAAAACTTTCTAGTATACAATATTTATATTTCTCTTTCTTTTGTTGGCGAGGATGGGCTTACAACAACAACAACAAAAATCTTTGGACCCTACTTTGCTTCAGCGAGCGTTCTACTGATTTCAGAGGAGCTCTGCTTTCTGTTGGAAAATACTGTTCCATTTATTTTTTTCCGAAGATAAGAGAAATAAAGCCTACAACAATTTGAGAAGCCAAAAGAGGATCTGTTGTTGAATTGAGAGAGACAATTGCGACAAGGAATGATGTGGTGCTTGAGGAGATGATTCTATAAACATCTCTTTCTTGATAAGTGGGATGATCCAATAAACATCAAAATATCATATTATTAGCGTAAATTGAAGTTTCCCGGTTAGGTTGCGGGTCGTCAGTAGAGATAAATGTTTGCTGAAATAACACCAAACTTGGTAATTCAAATTTATAAGATGTGTTCATTGGATATAAATGGAAGTTAAAAATGCATGTATAACCAGTAGAAAATCTAAGATGCATAAAAAGTGTCCGTTAATTGAGCGAGTGTATTAGGTTTAAGCAGATATTGTCTTGCAATTTACTTCCGGAATTAAATTCCAAGGCTAGTAACTTCTTTCAATCTTAGTTCCTGTCATAGGTTGTTTCTCCAGGGGTTGGAGAAATATGGAAGAGGTGATTGGAGAAGTATATCTAGGCACCGTGGGGTATCCAGAACACCAACCTAGGCGGCAAGCCATGCGCAGAAGTTCTTCAGTCGATTAAAATACAGCAATAAGGCAAAGAGGAGAAGAAGAAGCATTCATGATATCACTAATGTTGATGCTGGTACTACTGAACCTTCACAAGGACAAAAAAATGAGAAATTGAATGGACCTTGTGGAGGACAATTACAATGGCCAATCACTATGTGACTGAAGCTTTTAAGACAGGGATGTTACCTTTACCAGGGCAGTTGCCAACTGCATGACTGATGCTATTGAAGGACCACCAGATGTTAACCCTGAGAATTTCCCCTTTGGTACTGTTGTTACTGAGTTGAATAGTTCACTTCCCATTGTGGATGATGAGTTCCTGCTAGGTGTAGAAGACCTAATCACTGTACCGGCAGGCGGCAGAGGGCACCTCTGAAGCGTGGCGCGGGGTTGACACTAGGACATCTCCATCACTTAGCTGGCAACCATCTATTGTTGGTGGTGCTGGAATGTTCACTCATCCGGTCAATAGTATTGGGTATGAAATGGAAGAGTTAATTACCAAGTAGTTGGTTGAAGCCACTCAAGTTGGTCCTATCGTTAACACTGCAAGATTGCCATTATCAATTGCCGATCATATTGGAGTCCATGGTTGTACATCTTCTAGCAGTGGTGCGAAGAACGGTTTTGAGAGCATTGTGGGAGCTCGTGAGGCAGGTTTTTCTGTTGATTCTAACCCATTACTGTCAATTCCTGGCACTAGTGGTGGTGGAGTATATCCAAGTTTTAATGCTAGCATAAAGGACGACAACATCTTTGATTTGGAAGACCTATTCCTAGATCAGATGATTGGATTTTATGAAAAGGAAGGTAAATCTTAATCTATCACTGGTTTCACTAGAATTACCGTGCAGCGCAGGCCTATTATTTCACGAACTCTGATGTCATTACGTGTTCCTCGCCCAGCTAGTACAGTTGGATTTCGCGCTGCAGCATCTTCTAGTGGATTGTTCTATCATGGCATCCTTCTAGATATGGCTCCAGTTGCATATCCAATGTCTCATTCTTCCTAGCAGTAGAACCAATGGTTTCAGTTGTATATGGTGTATGTATTAGCAAACCTTTTAGATGCATAGAACTATTTAGAACATTTACCTCCCCCAACCCGCATGCCCCCTTTCACTTCCTTCGTTTGGTGTACAAGCATGTCTTTAAACTCCATGTTCAAAAATAGAAGCATGCTTTAGTAGTTTTGAATCTTATTTTCTGCTTACTTTGAAATTTTTCTTGTTCAAGTTAATCTTTGGTGAAATTCATTGAAAAGATATATGACCCCAAATTCTAGTTAGACCAAAATTCTCAAACCACATAGAGAACAAACCAAAATGCCAAGGTTCAGAGTACAAAGAAAGCAGAGTAGTAACCTTCATAGCATAGCAACACAAAATGGCAGGCCTTTTGCTGATATTTTTTTCTAGAACTGAGTAGTGGGAAAAGGCAATTTCATCTTCCATTTAGGTTTCTCAAGCTGTGAACAGAGGATGTAGCTCAATTGGGTTTGGAGCGACGCTTTTCGACTTCTGGCCATTGGCTTTGGAAAATTTCAGTTTCAACTTTCAAGCAGAGTGAGGAGAGGAAACTCTAGTGTAAATTGTGGGACGGCAACGATGTTGAGGGTTCAACATTCATGGCGTGGGGATTGTGAACAATTAATTACTTCCATTTTAATTTAAGTGTTTTATTTTCCTTTTAAATCCACTTTAAAATATAAATAAAATGCTTCTTTCTAAATTCTAATATTTTACATGACTTTTAAGGTACAAAATTTATTTTCTTGAACTTTATACCTATTAAACTAAAACACTTACAATAAAGAGAGCAAATTCGCTCCCTCTTGATTGAAAGGAATTCGTAGAGATTCAAACAAAGTAAAATCTAAGTACAAATATTGGAAATACCATAGTATTGTCTGATTCAAGGGGAGATGTCATGGTGTATGTTATTTGGTGATGATATAGTACTGATTGATGAGACGCGAGACGGTGTTAACGAAAAGTTAGAGGTTTGGAGATATACCCTAAAGTCTAAAGGTTTTAGGTTGAACATGACTAAGATAGAATACGTATAGTGCAAGTTCAGCGACGTCATGGGGGGACGGACATGGAAGCGAGGCTTGACTCACAAGTCATCCCAAGTGAGAAAGTTTCAAGTATCTTAGATCAGTTATCCAAGGGAATAGGGGGATTGAGAGGATGTCAGTCACCGTATAGGGGCGGGATAGATGAAATGGAGATTAGCATCCAGCGTCTTGTGTAATAAGAATGTGGCACCAAAACTAAAGAGTAAGTGTAGATAATAAATTTGCGTCGAGAAAATAAAATCAGGACCGAAAATATTGCGATAATCGTAGAATTTGATTTCATATAATATGAGTATACAATCTCTATGAATCCTGTGATTCTTCTTTTCAATAGTAAATAAATTCAAGGGCCTTGAACTTGATCTTGAATCTATATTGTTGCCACGAACAATGGTCTTTAATTCAACTGAGACGAGCTTTGATTTGAACTCGTACTCCTTGAACCTTGATTTGTTCTTCATTCTTGAGCTTGAACTTGATTTCTTGAACTTGAACTTGATTACTTGAAGCTTGAAACTTGTAGAGAAATTTGCGGCATTTGATCCACGAGCTCTCTCTTGCTTCTTGTTATATCTTCTGGTGTCTTTGTGAGTTATGAAGACCCCTATTTATAGTTGTGGAAGGAAAGAGTTTTGATAAGAACAAACTCTTTCCGGCCAACCATATTGAAGTGTGACAAGGTGGTATTTGATTGGCCAGAACATGTCACTTGCGCATGTGACGCAGTTTTATTGGCCTTTTAGTGTGACTTGGCGTGCCATGTCATTTGACACGTGGCGCCAAATTGGGCCTCTAGGAAGATGACATCTTTGGCCTAATGAAGTGGGCTCATCACTTGTAGCCCGACTAAATGAGCTAGCCCAACGGATTAAGACTTATTTATTTAATCTATATATATTGAATTTATATAATTAATTCAATTATATTAGCCTAATATTTATTTGGACAAAATATAATTGAGATTAAATCCAAATTTCTTATGGATTTAAATTTAATAAAATCTAATTGCCTACAAATGCCCCTACTTCAAGATTGTTGAAGTATAAACTTGGCGTACTACAAAGATTAAGCTTGAAGTAATAGTTAAAATACTTTATGAACTCAGAGTGTAATTTAGTCCTAAAATAATTTCAACTAAGTTGAACCCTGTGCATTTACGGAAGCAAAGCTCAAAATCCCATGTCACCACCCATATTATCACATAAAAGTAGTTTAAAGCACTATGTTTTAATAGTGCACGTGAGTAGGTGTATCTTTCATGGATTTTCTTTAGTTCCTCACTATTGATATATGCTTTTTCCAATAGTAATAGGTGGACTCTACTTAGTTGTCACTTTCTCCTTGTACCAAAATATTTGCTTTTGCATGCAACATATTAGTTGGCAATTACTTTGCCTCCAATTTTAACACGGTCAAGGATTGTTTCTTTTAGGCGTTAACTGGCAAGCACCAAATCCTTATTATCCAAATTCATTTAGGAGATGACCTTACGGATTTGATTCCTTACTGAAGTCCGACGGTCGCCTCATCAATATTGGAGACAAATTGTAGTAGTCGCCGATTTAAACACTGATCCCACATCGTAGATATACCTCCAATCAGCCACCTTTGAGATTTATATAAACCCCTGCTCATATGTTTATTAATATTTATCCTAAAAATTGGATAACAATTAAAATTTATAATATGATTTATAGACACGTGATTTTACCTAATACCAATTGATAAATGTAAAGACTAGTAATGGAAATCAACAATAAGGTGAAGCAAACCGGCGTTAGAGAAGAACTCAGCCTCGAGTGGAACACGCTCGAACTGATCGATGCAAGAACAATTAACATATAACAATCTAATGAGCAAGAATGTAATCTACAAAGTACTGTATTTCTTTGATATGCGTCAATGTGATATCATTACAAAATATTTAAGGCCCTCTTTATATAGTAGAGGAATCATATCTATGGTACAATTCTAATTACGGAAGTAAATCCCATGATTAACTAAATAATTGGCCTTGA